TTCCTTTTCCTCTTCCCTTTCAACTTCGAACCCAATAGCTCTGTTGGGTTATTTCGAACCCAACAGATCTATTGGGTTTTTTTTTTCTTTTTTTTTCCTCTCTTTCCTCTTTTCCTTTCTCTTTCTCTTTCCTCTTCCTTTTCCTCTTCCCTTTCAACTCCTGCTAGGTTCTCAAACCAGCAGATTTGCTAGATTTTGCTGTTGATTTTTGGTCTTTGTTTTAGGTGCTTAGTTGGGTTTTTGTAGAAATTTGGGAGATTTTGGATTTATGTTTGTATTATGCTTGGATTTAATGTTAGAAGGCATCTAGATTTGCAGAAAGTGAAAGGAAAGGAAGAAGAAGAAGAAAGGGAAAAAGGGAAAACAAAGAAAGCCAAAAATGGGCATTCAATTTCGAACCCAGCAGGTGCTGGTTTGATTTTGAACCCAGCAACGCTAAATTCTTTCATGGGTTTGAAAAAGAGGTGATGAAAGTGGATTTGGAGGAAAAATATTGATGAATTGATTATTTGATTCAAGGAGGTAAAGAGAGAGAAAAAGAAGAATGAATGAAGAAGATTTGTGAAAGAGGATGCTAAAGGAAAAAGATAAGGGTAAAATTGTAATTTTAAATGAATTAGATCATTAAATTTTGACACATCATTTATTTGTCCATGCTGTTAAGCTGATGTGTCACAATATTTTGACACATCAACGAGTTTCTGTGATTTAATGGGACACGTAGGTGGATTTTTAACGAAAGGACCAAGTTGGGTCAAAATAGTAAACAGTAGGTACCAAATCAAGGATTTTTTGAGTTGAGGGACTCAATTGGGGGTCTGTGCAATAGTTGAGAGACTAAAATGAGGATTTAACCTTAAAAAAAAGTAATTGGATATGTGGACAAGTTAATGTTAACGGTTAACAAATCGTCCGTTAACCCAAAATTGGACGGAACTTGGATAGAGGGACGACATCAATACATTTTCCAATAGTAGGGGGAGGACATGTGTAGTTAATTCATAATAGAGGGAGGACATGAGGCAATTTGAAAGTAAAAGGTTTAAATTGAACTATTTTTGATAGTAGAGGGATGATAGTTGGCATTAACCCTTTAAGAAAAACGTTTGAAACTGACATTGAACATCTGTCTGAAAATTGGGGTCTAAACTTGTAATTTACCAAAGACCTGCACTCCAATTCCGGTTGGGCCGGATTTGGACTCAAGACCCGGCCCATAAAACCCTAACAACAGCATCCACCGTTTCTACCATCGTCTCTCTGCTTCCCTTAGCTTTTCTTCTTCTCCGTAGCAGCCGCAGCTTCACCTGCCGCCGGTTTCCTGGTTCATCGTCCTCGCTTACTGGTACGTTTCTTACCTAACGGTATGTTTGGTTACTTAGCAAATTTGGGAAATTAAAAAGGAAAATTGCCAATGCTAATATGCTTCTTCTTTGTTTTCCTTAATCGAAATCAAAACTAACCCTAGTTCCACAGATGGATTTTTTCTTTTCTTTTCGAGGTATTATATTAAATTAAATTAAGCAGCTAATTTTAGGAGTTCTGAGATGTGGCTCTTCGACTGATTTTTTGTTCATTGAATATTTTGCGAGTCAATATTTTGTGAGTCGCTTCCGCCTGGTTACAAACCAGTGGAATTTTATTATTATTATTATTATTATTATTATCAATTATCAATTATCAATCAAAACTCACATCAACTCGAAATTCAATCTTCCTTTCCGATGTATTGGATTGGATGTTGTGGGAATTAGGAAAGGAAATGCCAATTTTGCTTTTCAGATTGATTGTTCTGTTTCCCTTAGAGACTCTAATCTAATCTTGTACTAATTGACTATTTCACTTTGGTTTTAAGATTTCAGGGAATTGGAAAGAATTTGGAATGGGTGCCAGCAGCGATCCCAACCCTGAGGCCTCTGACGAGCAGCAGAAACGCTCCGAGATATACACCTATGAAGCCCCCTGGCACATCTACGCCATGAACTGGAGCGTACGCCGTGACAAAAAGTACCGCCTTTCTATTGCCAGCCTCCTTGAGCATTACCCTAACCGTGTCGAGATTGTCCAGCTTGACGACTCCAACGGCGAGATCCGCTCTGACCCTAACCTCGCCTTCGAACACCCCTATCCTCCCACCAAAACCATCTTCATCCCTGACAAAGAATGCCAGAAGCCAGACCTCCTCGCCACCTCCTCCGACTTCCTCCGGATTTGGCGCATTTCTGATGACCACTCCCGTGGCGAACTCAAGTCCACCCTCAATGGTAACAAAAACAGTGAGTTTTGCGGTCCTCTTACCTCCTTCGACTGGAATGAAGCTGAGCCCAAGCGGATCGGCACCTCCTCCATTGACACCACCTGCACCATCTGGGACATTGAACGTGAGACTGTCGACACCCAGCTCATTGCCCATGACAAAGAGGATTACGATATTGCCTGGGGTGGTGTGGGCGTCTTCGCCTCTGTCTCTGCTGATGGCTCTGTTAGGGTTTTTGACCTCCGTGACAAGGAGCATTCCACCATCATTTATGAAAGCTCTGA